TAGCTGGAGGAACCAATGATAAGATTAAAATGTGGGTCACACAGGGTCATACGCAGTTAAGCTGTCAGAGTGTGATAGAACTAAGAAAATAGAAAATGTTGTCCATGGGATAGCCGGTATGTTTTCAGCCATGCCAAAAATTCTAACTCTTTTTATCTGATATTCATTCTCAGTATCCAAACCTATCTCCAGTATCTGACAGTATCTTAAAACATAGCAAAATAAAGCAGATCTTTGCCCCCCTATCAGTGAAGAGTCCCACAGACAGCTATTACATTTTATACTGTTCTCAGATGAGGACACAACATGCTTGATGGAGAGATGTAGAGCACCATTGTGTAACTCCTATCCCCAGTTCCCATTGGAACCCAATGTGTGTGTACAGGCTTTGTTGTTGTTCTGTGAAGTCATGCATTAGGATAGCTTAGCAGTCGCCGAGAGGAGCTTTTTCTTTCTTTCTAATTACAGCAGTGGCCTGGTCCGGCCAGAGACCATTGTGCCAGAGTGCTGTGAATTCCCACAATGGAGCTGCTCAGCGGAGAACAATGAGTCAAATTCCTGACCGTTCCCCGCAGGTTCAGAGGCTGGGCTGACAAATAAAGACAGCAGAGTTACAGTGGCTTTGCTATTCTACACCCAGTAGCTTTCCCACTGGCCACCCCAGTGGGGATATTGGTTTGGGTTTGTGTGTGCATGTTTGTGTGTGTCCCTGTTTGTGTGTGTGTTACAGGGCGGCTACAGCTCCCACTGGGAGCACAGGGAGGGGTTGAAAGATGGGGGAGGTGAAGAGGAGGGAGCTTGTTTCGTTCTTTCTGTAGGAGGTGAAAGACTATTCGCTCTTTTTGGTGTAATCAAACCCCTGAGAACGAAAAGTTGGCAACCTGCATTGAAAGCCTTGTTGATTAAAAGTGATCAACATTTTTCTGAAGACAGCATTGAACTTGTGTAAGATGTCTTGCGAAAACCTGTTTGCTGTTCTAATGACTTTTTCTTCAATACAAACACAGTGGGTCCTGGGCTGTCATGTACTTGGCCACTTTAAACACAATCTGCTGTTTTCGTGCTTCTGTACGGCTGGAGAATGCTGAGATTATGACAAGAATAGCCCAGCCATTTGCAAACGGAAGGGTTCTGTTGTTTACGTTGCCAGAAATGTGTGCTTACACAGCCTTTAAGTAGGCTGCAGAGCTCCAAGGCCTCCAACAGGGTCTGGTTCCACTTGTTACATCCAGACTGGAGTATCTGGGGTTCTTGCTTTCCCAGCTGTCCAGAAATATGCCTGCGTGTGTGCGTGTGTGCGTGTGTGCGTGTGTGTGTGTGTGTGTGTGTGTGTGTGCATCTATACACTGGAACTGTTGTGTTCATAACCTGTTGTACACATAATTCATGTTTACTGAATGGGTGATGGTGGGTGGCAAGAAAGACCCCACAGTGAACAGCAGGTGCCATACTACAGAGACTGGCATTTGCTACTCACCTCCTCTTCTGTGTTTGTTTATTTGTCACAGACTTTGACAGATTTCATTCAGATACCCTCTTCGTCCTCCTACAGAGAAGGTCTTTTTTAACCATTTTGGGTTCTAATATCAATTTGATTGCATTAAATTGCAGAAATATGTCATTTACAGTACTACTGTGAACTCAGTCTTAATCATTGACAGTATAATGTTCAAGTGTAGGGAGATTGTTAATGTTTGAATGACTCCTGTTTGTGTTTTTGTGTTAGTAAGCAGGATATCATAATTGTTTTGGCAGATTTCTGTGAAATTTGATAGAAAGTTAGAACATTAACAACAAATGGTCACAAATTAGAAGCTGGAATAAGAAAAAGTTTGCATTTGTGCTTAATAAATCATATTTTCTACTATTAAAAGAAAACAGTACATTGAGATGATGATAATAAAAATACCACCCTAAAATCATTAAAGAAACTGACATGTCAAACTCAAACTCAAGTTGTAAATGAACTCTTTATCAGGAGAATTGGTTTATTGTGTTCATTTAAACATTGCAGCAGGCTTTCATATGTAGTATTATCACTATAATTTGTCACGAGTATTGCCAGAATCCATTCAGTCAACTTATCACAATAAACATTTGGGGCCAATGTATGTTTTTGGCAATGTGATTGCATTTGACGTTGGTGCTGTGTGTCTGTGTCTCTGCGACACAGTTACACCCACTTGCTCTGGTTTGAGGACATTTGCCAAGTGGTTCACAGAGGCCATAAAACTCAAAAGCGTTTCTCTCCTCACAGGCTTTTGAAAAGAATTCACACAGTCCTCCCTTGTGAGCCCCCCTCCCCTCGCTCAATTCACAATAACGTGACACTCTATCTCCTTTACTGGTTACTCTAGCTTTAATGAAAATTGATAGTCTCACACACATACACACACCTCAGCAGCCATTGATCGAAGCCCAATAAATGTTTTATAAGCCACACTGTAAGGACACCCCTCACTTATTCAGAAGGTGTCAATGGTTGAGTCCGGAGGGAGATTGCTGTGTTACCTTCTTCTTACAGCCCCTGAATTCAGTGGGAGAGTAATACATTTTCTCTGTAGTGCACATTTCCCCCTATTCTCAATCACTAGTGCCATTCAAGTTGGAGGTCTTTTTTCAAAGCTCATGCAGATCAGTTTGGCCCCTTGAGTGACCTGGAATTTCTAAACTCTCTGAAGTCTGACTTCTAGGATCAGGGATAGGACATGTGGCGAGAAAACACTTGCAGGAACACTCCCAATGAATGAATGAATGGAAATGGAAAATCGGCAGAGAGCAGGGGAAAGGCCCTTCATTCATCAATTAGCGGATGCAGATTCATTCCTCCCACCATTTTCTTTCCAGACTGTTTCCCATATCTAGTCTGCCTGGATGATATTGTGTGGTTTTAGAAAAACCAAGCTAAAGAAAAAACACAGTGTAAGCCTCAGCAAGTGTTATTGTAAGCTGAACCACAAGTGCCCTTTCTTCTTCTGGTTTGTGATGGAGAGTGGCACCATTCCACAGGAAATGCCTTTTTAACACAGCAGGAAGGAGAAACATTGCACCCTCTGGATCCAAGTCTTTTTTTCTCATTTAATGGCATTAAAAGTGACTGGCCCAGTGTTTGTGTTTGGCTTGTGTTTGTGCTGTTGTGGGTTCAGGCTAGTACTCAGTCCCTTAAGTCTTACAGTGTGAAGTGGATTCCCTTGCAGACTGCTGGCCAGTCAGGGGTTAAGCTTGAAATTCTCTTGCCGCTGAATTAGCATGCCAGGGAATGAGAAAAATCTAATGAGACTAACTGGACTTGACTTGTGTGAAGGCTAATGGTTAACAAGTCATGATGGAATTTCCTTTTGATTCAGCGGAGATGACTTGAGCTCTCACAGATATTTTCTGAAAGTGAACTTTGATGCCATAATGGAATTTTAATGGCCTTGAAGCGAGTCCTGTGTAGGTGGCGTGAGCCTGAGAGCTGCACAATTCAGCATATTCTGATATGTAGTATTATGACAGTTTCTACAATACCTATCTCAAAGAGCTGCAATACTGGTATGTCAAGGAATTGAAGTAACTTGGCTCCTGCTCTTTATTTGTTCAGCTTTGTCAGCACTGTACTGTTCATCCTGTGGAATATTTCAGTTTGATCCACCAACTAAAGAATTACTTTTATCAAATACCACTACCGTTACATTCCTGCTTAGCTGAACATTTCTGTAAACATAGGGTGTCTGCAGCTGCTTCACAGTAAAAGCCCTACTGTCCTGCAAGTCTGATGAAATAGGTTTTTACTGTGAAGCTGCTACATGAGTGTTTGAGCTATCCTTGAATACTGACATCGTCTGAAATCGTGTCTTTAAGTATTAGGCATTTCTCTATAATATCATCGAGGCAGTACATAAGTATAATGTATGCTCTGATAAATGCAGTCTAATCTGGTTTTGTCTGCTGTTCATAACTACCAACACACACACACACACACACACACACACACACACACACACACACACACATTCAGTATGAGACAGGATTTGGCAGATCCATTTTGAGTCACAAAAAGATTTACTTTTTTTAGGAACACGTAACTTAACAGCAGATAACAGCATCCATATGAAATGTAGGGCATGTAGTTACAAGTTAAGAGCCACACTGGGTGTGTTCTGTGGTCACTGAGCCATTTTTGTGAATGGAACCTCATATCTCCGTGCGTGTGTGTGTGTGTGTGTGTGTGTGATTGAAGTGAGGGAGTGTGTCTTACAGCTGACAGGTCTTTCAGAAAAGCAGGGCGCAGAGCCATGTATCTGCAGCTGCCCCCTCTCTGTGCACTCTTTGATGGGGAGAAAGATGGTGTTTACTTCTACAGACCACAGCTACACATGCACACAAAAGGCTTGTTCTTCACTATGTTGTCTCAACACTACTTGAAGATCCACTGAAAGACACATTGCGTGCATAGGGAGGGCACATTTGTGAGTTTGTTCATGGCAAAGTACTGTACATAGCTCACTTTACAGTATCAAAAGAGCCTGTTCCAGTGTAGTACACCTCATTTGAGTTGCACCCTTTTTCAATTACCAGAGCAGTTGGTAGTGTAACCGTCCATCTCATTTGTTTTTGGTGCTCCAAATAGTAGCAAGGGGACACTGGCACGTTTATTGAAACACCCACACACGCACACATCCACACACACACACACACTACATATAGCCATCCATTGTTTAACCAGCCCAACAGACTTATAGGTCTCAACCGTTACTCTTTTTATAGTGTGTTTGTCTAGCAAAGATAGCAGTCACACCTGTTCCTTATCTGCACTGTATATACACACACACACACACACACACACACACTAGGACACATGCTAAAAAAGAAAGAGAGACAGATACGGTCTTTTTATTTTTGTGACATTGTATCAAAGCGCTCTTGTAAATGACAGTTGAACTATAGCAAACTGATCCGTATTCTTAATGTTTGTCTAACAAGTACCTATATTTGACTTTTTCATCTTGTGTGTTCAGGTCTAGATGACAGCCTGCAGCAGTATGTGAGCAACTTTGAGCGGGAGAAGATCAGTGGGGAGCAGCTACTGAAGATCACACATCAGGACCTGGAGGAGCTTGGCGTGGCCAGGATTGGACACCAGGAACTGGTGCTGGAGGCTGTCGATCTACTCTGCGCTCTGGTCAGTAAATCTGCGCCGCGAGTGTGTGTGGCTAATTTGATCCAAATATGACAGAAGGGATATGACAGGTAAAAGCATAATCGTGGGACGTGACCGTGTCTCCAGGAAGAATTTGTAACAAAGCAGGGGCTTGTAGTTTCTGGTTGGACGGTTAAAGGAACCAGCGGTGCAGAAAGGCTCATCCCTTCCCACACAGCTCAGCGGGGTGTGGAGGCACCATAACACATGAAGCAGCCTGAGGACAAGGGAGAACAGCAGTGTCACTCAGAGACGAGGAGAGGGGCCTTGAGCTCGAAAAGCTGAGATTATTAGTTAATGGTAATCATGCAGCGGCGAGTGACAGTTTGATAGATAACATGTGAGCCCTCTTTCCACTCTCCCTTACATGTAAAGTCACACAAAATACATACAAACTTTATAATATTTGTTTTTTGGTCTCTGTTATCTTAAACAGAAATGCCAGGCAGGTTATTCTTCCTAGTGCTGCCATCTACTCACCTGAGCCATCACGCTTGGTTCAATTATAGATCCCCCCCCTTATAAGTCTCTCTAGGAGCGAACCAGCTGCCCCTCTGTCCATCATCACAGCTCCCAGAAGAACTGCCAGCAAAAATGTCTCTGCCAGTGCCTTCAACTCGTGAGCATGCAAAGAGCGATGAAAACCGTCCATGCTCCAACTGAAAGAGAACCAGGTTTTCCAGCAGATGGGATCGATTTGGAGTTTTATCACTTCCTGTGCCATAAAAGTCCCAGATTGTGGTCCCTGCATTTGATCACTGTCAGCATTTCTGTCTTTATGTTCTCTTAAAATGCTGTACATTAATCGTTTGGAACATGGTTATTTTTACCCTGAAGAAAGTTCAAACCCCTCTCCTACATGAGGCTGTGTCTTGCATTGATGCTGCTCTGAAAGCTGTAGGTCAAAAAGGTTTGGATCAATACAGTTTATGGCTCAAAAAGATGTGATTTCTTTGTCCCCGATCCATCACCTTAGCACACTGAAGCTATGGATGGGTTTTCTGGCATCCTGTGAAAAGCAGGCACATGTGTGATTTAGTGTAAGGTTAGCAACCGCCCATCACTTAGCTTGCATCTCCATTTTGTGGCTCCTCTTTGTGTTAGTGGTCACTTAAGCTAGTATGATGCTGGGATATCTTTTGATGACCAAGGTCAAACCAGACTGTATGCAGGTTTGTCTGGGACAGGGACACCCCCTTGACCCAACTTGTACCCCATTAATGAACATTGTTTCCCATTCTGCAGAAAGCTAAGATAAGCAACTCAGCCTATCCAAGTATATATGAGAGAGAGAGAGAGAGAGAGAGAGAGAGAGAGAGAGAGAGAGAGAGAGAGAGAGAGAGAGAGAGAGAGAGAGAGAGAGAGAGAGAGAGAGAGAGAGAGAGAGAGAGAGAGAGAGAGAGAGAACCTCTTTTACTATCACAGCAATCAGGCCCAGATTTCTGTTCACCCCTAAAACCTCCACATCATGGCAGCTTATTCTCAACTCGTTTCCCTCTCAAGCTACTTCTAAGTGAACCCTTTTCCTTGCATTTGAACTTTATTCTGCCTTCAAAATGTGATGTTAGTTTGCAGTCACTGTGTATTCTTAAGTAATTTAGTAAGACAATTTAGACCAGGAATGCAGGACTCTCAGCGACCGCTCACCGATGACTGAAACAGTCCGGCTAAATGTTTTTTGTCCGTTACTGGTTTCCTTATTAAGAATGAGGCCTTGGCCTTCCACAGGTCCCATGGGAGGAAGTGAGGCCCCCAATTCAATTAGCTTTAACTGAGGCAAGGTCACTGCTACCAACAGGAACACTAGGCCACTAGCACCCGATACCCCCACACACACTCACACTCTCCCCCCACTTTCTCTCTTTTTGTTTACTGTTAGGTCAGACACTTCCTGTTGATGCAGTCACATTCATCTTTTTGACACTTTGCTACGAGGCTTTGCTCTTGAGTTTTAAATGTTTCAGCATGTGCACATGTAATAAAGATTTCGCCTTATCGTAGTACCTTTCATATATCAGGGAGCTGAGCTGTCCTGTTACCTAAGTCATGGTGACTGATAGCTTAACATACAGCCCTTTAGGAAACATTCATATTCATGCTTCTCTTCCACCCAAAAGCTATCAAGAGCAAATTGCTGTCTAGGGACAAAGAAAGAACAGTTCAATTAATTTTACGGGATTTTCGCAGCCATGATGTCTTCTGCAGAGTCACTGTTGAAACCCAACACTTCTTTATTTATTCTCGAACCCTGGTGACCCACTCAAAAGACCAATACCACGATATTCACACACACTAGCTTTCTCCAGTAGCCATTGGACATACAGTATATGACAGATCATCTGACCTCATCATGAGCCGCAGAGCTGCTGTAAATGTGTTTTACCATTGCCTAGGGGTGAATATGTCCTAAGGTATAATGTAACACTTAACCTTAGATGGCACATTATAGCAATAGACACACACTCTCTGTGTAGCCTACAGACATTTGTATCTTTCTTTTATAGTCAAGTCAGATCCATGTAATGCCTGTGGCGAGGGCAGGAAGCGCTGTGTTGTGATAGCCGTTCTCCATTACTCCCGAGGACACTTATACCCAGTATATAGTCCCTTCAAAGAGCCCCAACTCGAGCCTACACAAAAAACAAAGCTGCCATCTTGATTCTAGATTAAGTGAACGTCTTTAAAAAGGCACTGAAAGGACGTAAATTTAACTTGAAATGCTGTTAGAAGAAAGAAAAATTGCACTTGACTAGAACTACAGATTTTGCTCAGATGTGTTTTTTAGCTCAACTGGCAGTGTGGGACAAAGGCTCGCAGGACATCTGTGGGCCAGTTAGAACTGCTGTGACTGTGTGATTAGCCTGCTAATGAAAAAGCCAGGAGAAACGTTTGATCTGGAACATGCTCACACTGCCTCTGTGCTACAGTTCCACTTTCACTGTGTGAATGTCTCTCCCTTTCTCCGTATGTTTGCTTATCTTTGATGTTTCAACAATCCATTTCATGTCATGTGTAGCACGAGTGAGGCTGCCTTCAGCTACTGTTTGACTACTTCAATTATTCCAGTGATTCCTTTGGGGCTGACATGAGTGAAATGATTTGTATGTTATTTTTTTGAGCTCGGGCTGGATAGAGGCAGTGGAATAAAAGTAGACTGTAACCACTTGCAGATCTCCTTCATTGTTTTCCAAACACATGCTGTTTTACTCCTCGCAAAGCATATTTAGCTACTGGCACATCACACATGCAGCGAGCATTGCTGGCAGCGATGCAACACCATGTAAGCGGATATTTACAGGACACAGGCTACCCTTTCTCTGCTTTCCTTTAACCAACACATTAATCCAAACCCATTTATTCAATCAAAACATTGCACGTACTTTAAAACAAGCTCTTTAAAATATTTGACAAGTGATTATGCTCAGTCTCAGACACACACTTTACCCTTGAAGGAAAAAAAAATGTGCATGCTTGTTGCGGCTCACTACCCTGCAGTAGTTCAGTTCATTGCCGGTTTGTACTGTACTTAGCGACCCTTGAAGACACAAAGCTCGGCTGTTTTGTGCTTGTGAATAACCTATAAATCAGAGGAATGCACAAGCAGGAAACAACCCAGGCTCAAGAATGCAAACTTTGCTCTGGTTGATAGGAATCAGGTGATGGCATGTGCTCACCCTCCCTGCACGCCCTTCAACAAACCTGAAGACTGAAGGGGAAATTTCATGACTGGGCTGTCCTCACAGACAAGTGCATGTAAATCATAACTGTCGAAGAAATGATAACAGCCCCTCATTATACAGGAAACAACATGTTTTCCTGGGAATGGGACTCCACTGTTAAAGTACCTCCCAGGTCTAGAAGGGTTGTTTGCTTTGATCTTGACTTTTTTTTTTTTTTTTTTTAAATGTATGATTTCTGCTTTTGTTTGACCTAGTTTAAATTGTGTATTAATTTATCGTTTCAGAACTATGGAGTAGAGACCGACAACTTGAAGAATCTGGTTGTGAGGATGAGAGCTGCCACCAACAGTCTACACATGGCCACGTCTGACCGCAGGAAAAGCCCCGCGTATGATGGCAGCACCTCACGCAAGCCACCCAATGACTTCCTTACCTCTGTGGTGGAGCTGATTGGTGCTGCAAAGAGCCTCCTGGCTTGGCTCGACAGGTAATAACATTTTTTTATAATCACCACCTACCTGTGCCTTCTGAATCAGATCAGATATCAGAAGGCCTGCCATAAGACCACTCTTCTCTGTCATAGTTACTACATTACTAGCACATACACGCATTCATCTTTTGCATAAAGATTTTCTAAAGGTTGGCAGCAGCCATTGCACATATTCATGCTGTTGGCCAAGTTAACACTACAAAGTCCCCTTTGCTCTCCTGGTGACCTGCTCCAAAATGCATTACGCCATGAAAGCAGACCATATTAAGCAGGTTGCCAGGATTAAGTGTTAGCTGGCTGAAATTAAGCTTCTCTTTTTGTGGCAGGCTTGGCTAAAGCGGGTACTGTGACGTCATGATATAAACGGTAGTTGGGATGTCGAGATGAGTGCAATGTAACGCTCTTTAAAAAAAATATGTGCTGTGATAAATGTTCAGTTACATCGGTGAAGTTCACATTTATGCATGTTTTTATTAAGAAAAAAAAAAAGATTTAGATTATATGTTTTTCTAAAGGTTTTTTAAAGACATAATTTGACATGATAAACCACACTGACATATTTGAAGTACTGAACGGAGGGTTGGGGGCTGATTTTGGAGTACATAAGCATATGTTTTCAGAAGGAGTCAGACAGAAGAGGAGATGAAATGGCACCAGAACAGTGACATTCTTGAGTTACAACCAAGTCTGTCTGTGGCCAGTCACCCAAACACAGTAATGAGAGCAAGGTTCACTGACTCTATTATAAAGAATCGTGTTAGCAGCTCATATCTGACTTCACCTCAGTAAATCACACTAAACCTACTCTCCCAGGCCACTTTATTAGGTAGACATGTACAATCTTATACAGTCCAGTACAAAAGCACATGTTTATGACTGAAGTCACAGGTATTGGTGGTGTTGTACAGGAATGCATTATATTAAGATGTGTTGCTAATATTCTTATCCCCTATTTTGTAAATATCATAAATCTCTCAATAGCTGAGTGGTTGTATTGTATTGGATTAGATTTTACAAGTATAAATAAAGTAATAAAGTAGCCACTGAGTGGATATCCAGTGACCGTTATAATAATATCAGACATTGTTGTCATATGCTTCAGTTTTAAAATTATGCGATCATGCAAATCAACCCAACTCTACAGTCCATCACTGGTTCCTAATGTTCTCCCTTTCCATCTTTGTTTGCTTGCAGGACGCCTCTGACAGGGATCAGTGACTTCACAGCCACCAAGAACAAGATCATTCAGCTGTGCCTGGAGCTCACCACCACAGTTCAACAGGTCTGCACGCTAGTTAGCTCAACAGCACACGTGTAGCTAGCCCCTGGGAAACATATACACAATAGCTTTTTCCACTGAGCACATACCAGCTCGGGGGTACAGACATGCAGGATAAAGTGTAGGAGAACAGAGTTATGGGAAATGTGGTCTGGCAGCCATGACATAAGCCTGAAGCCAGCAGTCTGAGCATATCACTGCAAATGCTGATGTTTTTCTTGGGATCTTTTCCCCCTCGTGCTGGCTAATGAGGCGACCCCCTTAGTGCGGGGACGTTTAATGGTAAACGTTGCTTTTGTGTTTCCAGTTTCGTAAAACCCACTGGCGCACTTTTAAAGGTGGCTGCCAACATTCCCCAGGCTGCCGTACTCCTTCAGCCATGTGGTTCCTGTTTTTGCTCCTCCAAGATGCTCGCAGTGGGAGACCAAACTGTCTGAAAGCACTTCCTGTGTGTAGGTTTAAAGCGGGGATGAGGAGGTAGTCCATCTGACTGCCAGATAGATGGCTAACTGTTAAAACAGAGCATCAGGATACATACACTATATTTCAGAACTTTCTGCAGAGACTTGCTCTTGCATTGCATCATGGTACAATTGGGTGTCTACTTCTGTCAGTTTCTTACAACCAGTCATGGTTGGTCATACTTACATCTTAAACAAAGGGCGCTAGCAAGTGGCCTTTTCTTCAGTATCAAAGCCATTAGCTTCTATGTACAGTTTGTTCTCCCTAAAGGGTTTGATTTAAGCATAGCCATGTAAGCAACTCATTTTACACTGCCAGTGAAAGTGGCTGCTGAGACTGCAGGTGTCATTTTTAGAGGATTGTTGCATCAAAATAAATTCCTTTCCCAGAGTGCCTATTTCCTCGCCAGAGTCTGGTATTTCAGCGCCTCCGGTGATTTACTGTGGGTGTCTCGGTCATGGTCATCCAGGAGAAGTGGGGGTATACATTTCCCACACTGCCATGTGAAGTGGAGATGTTATGGTGTAGAATAAACTCCTGATAGGTGCTGAAAGAGTTTTGTAAGTCTGCAGAGATTAGTCTCCTCCAACAAGTGGAGGAGAGATACAGTTTGGTCCTCTGTTAGGTTGTTATGAGCTGATATAAAACTATGTAACTGGAAACACTGATGTACCGTATTCCCAACTCATCATTTAAGTATCTAAGCATGCACACAAATTGTACACAGTTATAAGACCCTTGATTTTCCTTCTTATTTCTTTATATGATTTAGACTCGCTTTGTTGGGTGCAGGCCAAAGTATGAGCCAGCGGTTAATAATATAGGTTGCCCAGGAGACTGCCACAGTGATTAGTTTTATGATGGGGGAGGACGGCGTGAGGTTTGCCCATCTCGTTCATGAACTTCAGCCAAGAATCAGGGCTTTTGAAATCACACAATTTATGTGTTCTGCCTGAATGAAGCCTGTGTGTACACACACAATGGGACATGGCCATAAAACTGTGAACGCATCACACATCTTGGCTGACCCGTCAGTGTGGAGGTCATTGTCTTTCAAAGGAGGCATTTTTCATCAATCCCCTGTGTCTTTTTATCTGTGCTTCACCACTGAATTGTTGGATCATATATGGAGTTTCTTTTTCTCTTTTTTTTCCATTATGTAGGCCAGACACTACTCTTTAGCAGACCTATCCATCACATATAGATACAATTTGAATAACAGGATATCAGAAGGGTAGGTCTAAAGTTTTGCAGTCCATGGACTTTATATCACTCTAGTGAAAAGGCAGCTACACTCCAGGTTTCTGCACCAAGCCACCACTCTTCTCTCTCGACCACTACATTGCTCGACCATGCAAATCCGCTCTGGTGGCAGATCAAAGGCCCAGAGCAGCACACAGAGAGTCATCTGATCCACACCGGCTGTGGGATCAAGTCCATAACGTGAGGGATCAGTAGACCCAGGGAATTGTCCCTCAGCCCTCTTAGTGCTTAGTTATGATCTTGCTCCTGTCTACCAGTAGGACTGGTTTTGACAGAGATATGGGATTAATTTTGAAATCTTGGAGATCTTAGAGGGATTAACTGTGGTATTGTATTCACATGATTTGATGCTTCTATGAAACAAGAGAAATGCTCCATAAATCTTGAGCTTGGTGGGAGATGTGCCAAGCCATGTCTGCAGCACATAATGATACTGTTTTGTTTCACGTCCTCTAAACATCAAAATATGTATTTTTAGCTCATCCCTCTTGGCTCAGTCAACACTGTAGTCATCCAAACATGGGTCAGTCTCTAAAAGAAATATGCAACTCATGTTTATGCAAGCATAGCCAAATTCCTTCTGAAACCACCATATGTTCTTGGCTGATTTTAGGAAATATATTGTATGGAAACATGATTTTGAGACCAATGCACATCAAATGAAACCTATTATGATTTTGTTTTTCCTGCTTAATGTTTATATTGGCTTTTCATTTTACCCCCCCCAGTAAGAGAAACGTGGCAAAGTCACATGTATGTTACTCTACCATAAGAGCTTAGTCCTTCAAACAGGCACACAAACACAGATCGAAAATAATATTTTTATTAGGGAGCATAGGATAAACTCTGCTTTGATGTGAAGCCATGCTCACAGCAACAGACAGTTCATACAAATCTCGTCAATGCAAACAAACCAACAGTGTGACAAGGCAAGTGCATTTAAAAACAGACGCCTCCCTTTAGCCCAGTGGAATGTGCAAGCTATGGAAATATGGAAAAACTTGCTCGACCCCCATTCGCTGTCTACACAATGGGTTTACAAAGAGCAACAGAGCTGGCTTTGTACATGGCACATGCCCATGCATGTCACTAATACTGTGAGGGCCACAACACCGTTTTTGCCTTTCTTTTACATTGACAAAGGCTTGTGGTTTGTGAGGGCTCTCAAGAAATAAGAGACTTTGTTGAAGTAGATTTTCTGTGCCTCGTAGTTTTGACAGAAGCATTTCTGTGTTTTGATGGATGGCTTTCCCTGGGGGCCAGTTCCATAAACAGGGCCCCCCATACACACATCCACTGTGAACCCATTCCCTGCCTAACCAGGGGCCCTTTCACCACCAACAACACAGTTGTCAGGGGAGGCTGTTGCCTCAGCTGTGTCCAGTCCAGCTGCAGTCTATGAGTGCTGTGTAGGGGCTCTTGGAGGGGATGCTGATCAGTCTCCCGGCTGACTTTGCAGATTTTATTGTTGGTTCCTTTGCCCCAAACGACCAAGATCACAGCTACTGTGTCTTGTTTTACTTCCCAGAAACCCCTTCTTCCACTAGCCCACCCACTTTCAACTGTGGAAAGCAGTGATGCATCCAAACATTCGCAGAAAACCAAAGCACTATTTGGATGGGGCTTTGTGAACATCATTACATGTTTTCCCCAATTGTACCCCGCCATGTTATCTGCACATTGTTACTATATGAGTGTTAGTATGGTATTTGTGTTCCATTATATTTTACTGAACCACACAGGGCATTATGCAATTATGGCTTCCCCAGAATTTAGTCAGAGAGGTCATTTGAATCTAAAAGCTGTTTATTTGTGGCAGTTCTCCATTTTCTCAGTTCTATATCTGGAATGCTGATTATATCGTATATACCCAACCCCTATACTTTCTCTCTCTAGCCATTGAATAACCTCTTCCTCTTCTCTGTTGTTTACTGCTCACAAGCCTAATCTGTCATCACTGTATTCTGTGTAACAGGACTGCAGTGTTTACGAGATGGAAGAGAAGATCCTGGAAGTTGTAAGTATATTGAATTTCTTCTCTTTGATTCCCATAATGTAAACTAAGTAAGACCTTGAAGGTCCTATTTGGAGGGAAAAGGTCTGGTTTATCGTTTGGGTAAATTTTACGTAGAGATTGTGTGACATGCTCTCAGCAGCAAGGTCAATTTTCTGAGTGAATAGAGCAGACGGGTCTATAGGATTGCCAGCAGAGGGGGCCGCTCTAATACGCCCCGGCCATCAATCAGTGTTTCCTGTTGCTGACGCTCTCCAGACCCCTTGGGCTAATGCTGGGTTTCCTCTAGCACTCGGTCTCTTTCGAAGACAACCCAAGTAAAGTCCACATTAGTGCTGAGTTTCTCTTTGTCTATCTCTTTGTTTAATACAAGTTGTTCTCATCTTTTGTTCCCAGCTTTGTCGCCTTTTTTTTGTGTGCTTATTCTGCTTGGGTTTATTTCCTCAATTTTCTGTCTTTCTCTGATTTCTGTTTTGTCTTCTTTCACCATTTGCTCAGCTCTACATAAAGTGTACACGATGCGTTCAAAACAAAAGGCATGTGCCTAAGAAGTGACCCTTCTAATGATGACAAATTACAGTTTTTGTCCTGAAACAAGCAAGGGACTAAGCAGAAACAACGGTGGTGTACAAAGGACTGATTTCAGTGTTGTGTGCACTGGTATGTCCAGTTAACAGCACACTAATGGTCCCTTTTTAGCCCATTAAGCCTTGTAGTAAACATGAACACACACATGTACACAGGAAGTAAGACAACTAACTGATGAAGGATAAGGTCTTTGTGTCCTGGGTGTCACAAGTAGTAGCGTAACCTGACTTGTTCTAACCTGTACAACACACGGTACCTCCACCGGTTATTAAAGGGACAATACACCATTAGAAGCTTTAGCACACTGCTTATAATCACTGTGAGAAGTTTCTTATGATTTAATTCATTGCTGCATTTTGTTTTGCCTTTTCCCCTGCAGTCTAAGATTTTGAACAGCATCTGTGATCAGACTGTGAGAACCACCTCTGACCCCCTGATGAGCCAGTCGGCCTGCTTGGAAGAAGTCCAACTGACCAATATCAAGCCAGGAGAGGGTCTGGTAAGGAATGCTTTTTTTGACCCGATGTCTCGCTTATGGGTTTGCAGACCAGGAATGCTTGCAATGTGTGTCAAATTGTGACCCTCACATCTCTGTCATACATTAGTCTCCCTCTGGGAATATTGCGTTTTTACTGAAACCATAAATAAGCTTTTATTTTGTTTTGTTTTTTTACCCCAGGGGATGTATATAAAGTCTACCTACGATGGGTTACATGTCATCACAGGAACCACAGAGCATGTAAGTATGACTATATGCCCCTTTTCATCCTGGAACTATTGTAACCGTTGAAAATACCTTCAGAGTTTCTGGTTGTAGTCCAGAGTGAAGGACTGGCAATTTGCATTGCTGCCCATCATATGTACATGATCAACTTACTTAGAAATCCCTTTATTATAGCAGTTCTTTTGCACCTTACTTGTAAGAAAAGGCTTCTGATGTTGGTTGAAAACACACCTCACTCTCATCCTCCTCCTCTTTCTCCTCCTCCTCTACAGAGGGCACACAGTTATCTGAAGGAGTTAAGAACTTCTCATCTCTAAAGACAATTGTTTGTTTCTGCATGCCAGTAACCAGTAAATATCACTAACAGCCTCCACAAAAAAGAAGTCCTACCTTTTCCCCACACTGAAACAACCAGTCAGTGACTAATACGCCAGCATCACTGCCTCGGTCAGATCCTCACGCCTCCAGTTCCTTATTGTGAATCAGGAACTGAATCATCACCAATAATGACTAGTCAATCCCGTTTGACATCTGTGTGACATGAAAAACAATTCAACTGATATTCATACACACAGACTGTTTGTTTTTTTCATACGTTTTGAACTTTGAGTGTTTGTTCATCAAGATATTTGCTTCTTCAGTAGAGATTTTCAAAGGCAGACACAGTTGAAATTAGGCAGGTCCAACAAGGTTTTGTGACTAGTAAGGTGTGTGTTAGCAGTAAGTCTGCCTTGTGTCTTTTGAAAGTGGTTTATCAGGCTTTGCCCTTTTACTTTGTTTGTTCTTTAGTCACCTGCAGACCTGACCAGGAAGATCCATGCTGGTGATGAGGTGATCCAAGTTAACCAGCAGACAGTGGTAAGAACAGAATCTACATATTTGACCACACACATTGTCAATTTCAGTACACACTATACATTTTGGTGACATATTAATGGAGTGTGTGTTTCCTGTTAACCAGGTCGGCTGGCAGCTGAAAAACCTGGTTGTCAAACTGAGGGAGGACCCCAAAGGTGTAGTTCTACTCCTTAAGAAGAGGCCCACGGGCACCACAGGTTTCACCCCCGCCCCACTCAAAAACATGCGCTGGAAGCCCCCAGTACCGCAGGTAAATGAACACAAGCTCCCACACTTCATCCTTTCATTATGGAAGATCAACAAAAGCCTGTGCATCTAGTCATTGTCAACCAATTATCAGCTTTTTAGGGAGTTGGTTCCAAAACAGCAAGTTCAGACAAGTGTCACAGAGCCACCCTGAAAGTGCTGCCAGCTGAACTGAATACAACATTGAGTTTTTCTTCATGCGTAAATTCAGAGGCAAACAAACAAAGTCCCATGATGTCATTCAGTGTAGCAGATAAACTGCCAGGCTGTGGTGTTGCTTAGATTCTATCTGGTTTATTAGAAACCCATAGCCCAGATGTTGTCATCAAAAGAAGACAATAGATTTATGTTATTTATGCTATTGTTCAAAGAAAGGTCAGAGGTGGCTGACAAATATTGTGCTAATAAGGTTATGTGACTGTAATCCAATTTGCTGCTCTCCCTCATGTGAACACATTAGGCTTAACTTAGCTTTTAACCACATCTCTGCACCTGAGTCCCCTTTTAACAGACAGAGAAACAATAAGCCTGTTGTAAACCAAGACTACCCAATTTCAGGCTCTTGCATTGTCTCCTCATGCATAGCCTGTTTTATAGCCTGAGAAGGCAAGATGAGACGATATCAGATAAGAGTAGGTTTTTCAAAACTACAAATAATCGCAACATAAAGGGGGCCCATGTCAACATGTTCACCAGTGTCTTGTTTTAACAAGTAGTCAAGCATATCTGAGTTAGCCATCTCAGTTTATCTGTGATAATAAGGCTCCAGAAGGCAAAACAGACAAATCATACATCCTGATTCAGGAATGAATGACACTGGCTTTGTAATACTGTATAATTTGTACAAATGGGAGCTATTTGGAGAAGGAAAAGGGGGGGGCAATGATTCATGACATCCCAAATCGGATGTTTAGTTTGTCATTAATCTATCACATGTACTACACTGTATCATCAGACATGTCATTTAGGTCTGATGAGAACGGGAGTGAAAATGAAGAGTCGTCGTACATTTAGTCATGGGCACAATGTTGTTGAGTGTTGGGAAACATAACTGTGGTAAATGAGTACAGTTTTAAGTACATGTCTCGTGGGTTATTTTGGACTTCACTTACAATCTTTCCGTACCTCAAACAAGAAGGTTTGTACTCGGGGAGACGCACACAAGCACTTAAATGTCTCACCACATGTGGTAAACTCCTCCCTGTTGCCAGCAAGTCATATTTAGTTTATTTGGGATTTGGCAGAAACAGTAAGCAATGACATAATTTTGTTGTTGACAGTACAGCGATGTATTATATATGTAAATATATGTGGCGCTAATGGTATTGACTTTATTATTGTGCTGTAATTTTTCAGAACAATTCCTTGATCAGAGCACAGTCTCCCTGTGGCTCAGCTAACGGATCAACCAAAAAGGAGAAGCCTGCCATCCTGGACTTGTACATCCCCCCTCCTCCTCCAATGCCATACACCCCACGGTGAGCTGTCGCATTTCATCTGCCAAGCTTACTAATTCATGAGGTTTCTAAAAGTTCTAAAAGTTGGAGCATAAAACACAAGCCATGATACAACTCAAAGAACTAGCAGCAAGAGAGAGAGAGAGAGAGAGAGAGAGAGAGAGAGAGAGAGAGAGAGAGAGAGAGAGAGAGAGAGAGAGAGAGAGAGAGAGAGAGAGAGAGAGAGAGAGAGAGAGAGAGAGAGAGAGAGAGAGAGAGAGAGAGAGAGAGAGAGAGAGAGAGAGAGAAACTGCCACCCTGCAGTGAGCAATCCAGTCACCCCTAGTCAACCTTTGCAGCATTTCCTCATGCAGGCCTTTGAGGCAGGTGGATAATGAGTGTGTCCCGGACCCGTGACCGCTTTACCTCCCTCCCCTCCTACTGCACATTCTGTTCTGCGAGTTTTCAGCCCACTCTGCTCCCACCAGTCCCACCATAGTCCTTATGCAACGGCTGTTTCATCTTCCTCCTCCAGGAAGATGACAGAACGGGATCACATTCACTTAAAAATGCTAGAAACTTTTTTTGTCTGTTTCTTTTACTTACAAATTAGCGTGGTATACTGCTTTACACTTAAAACTGTGGAGTGGCATGTTGCGTTGCAATAAATGAATGAGCATTTGTTTTTCCACGCAGAGAGGCGAGAACAGAAACCTTCTCCAGCATTAGTAAAAGACCAAAGGGCTCCGAGTCACCCAACTCCTATCTGGACCAGGAGACCAGAAGACGCTGCACCATCGCGGATTATGACAAGCTAAGCGTTGGCTGCCCCATCGAGGCCAACGTGATACAGCCCAGAATGAGGGAGCACAAGCCCTCGCGTGGTAAGCATTTTCTCATTCAGGGAAACTTATAAACATTCCACCGCTGGATATTGACAAAATATGATCCTGATTAATCTTAAACTCTTGCCTCTAGGGAAGCCTCGGCCCCTCTCCATGCCAGCGGACACCAGTGTTGGAGTGGTAGATCCCTACGCTAAGCCGTGGACACAAGGAAGGAAAGGTATGTCCAAGCATACTTTAACTCTGAGGTGGTGACAAGGACACTTTTCATACTCATAGTTCATAAAAAATGATGAGCAACAAAGCAACAAATCAGAGAAGCACAGCACACTACACTGTCATCAGTTGTCCTACAAGTGACATTTGAGAACATTAAAGCTGTCAGTATCCTATCCTATATATCATACCATAAACAAAATAAGATAGAATCAAGTTTATTACATATTCACTGCCAATAATGGTACATCTAAAAAACAAAACAAAAAAACCTATGATTTTTTCACAGCAGATTTCTGGACATTACCTGATCTGATGAAAGATCTTGTTTAAAATGTGCTTCAATTCTAAAAGCATACATTCTTTGAGCGTACTTCTCATTGTCTTTCTGCTCTAGGTGAAGACCTCCTGTACAGATACCTGAGCAATGAGAGGATCCCCACCATTGCAGAGGAGGTCCCCTCAGTGTCTCCGCCCTACAGGCCCGCGGGGGAACGTCACCTGGTCAGGGTGGACCACATCAGGGGCAGCCGCTACTACTCCAACTCAGACCTCCACAACAGCGCCACCATCCCGTACCAGGAGGACACGAGAAAGGCACCCGTAGCCCCCGTCTCCAAACGCACAACGGCAGAACGCTCACTACTGGTCAGTTGGATCACGCGGCTTAAGCTATTGACTCACTGATGATGCGCTTCCTGTCCGGGGCTTCCTGTTCCTGTCTTGTCCTTCCTCAGTGCCTTTTGATATTTAACGTCCAGCTGCTTTTTTTTGGCAGCTTCGGGCTTTCTCACACTCCTCCTCTCCCCAACCTCCATATTTCCCTGGTGTTACTACTACTACCAACTACTACTCCTCAACCAAACTTGCTTTTGTAGTACTCACTACATTACATCATCACCCCTTTAACACCGCCCACAACCCTCTTCGTCTCTGACTACAAGTCCCATCTCTGCCTCAAGAAGATACAGTTTGTTCAGGTTTAGGACACTTTGGCCTTGTGTACTGTCTATGGACTCCTCTGTACATATTACGTTATGTCATGTTTCAGTTGGAATGCTAATTATTTAATACTTCAGAAAACATGCCTGATATCATTTCAGCTATTTGCTTATTTTAATTTTATTTGCATAAATAAGTTATAAATAAAACTAAGTGAAACAAACGGCATATTTTGTTAGTGAAACTGTGCTTTAACTATAAATGTTCTTTTCTTTTTCAAATTACACTTTTGTGATCAGTTAGTTCCATTACCCTCTGCCACTGGTTGCCTCTTGTAAGCTATGCATATAATTCAAAAAGATTTTTATGGTCACTTTAGTTGACGATGCTGCATTGGTTGGTAAAAGGGTGTTTATATCTTGTCACTAGCAAATATTTGTGCTGGTTTTAAAGCTATGCACTCCATTCAGTAAACTTTTATATCCTGTGTTTCAGTTTACTCTGCAATCCCCCTCTTAAAGGGCCTATACATACAGCTGGTTGACAGTAATAAATGGGCTTTTCAAGCCAGTGTTTTGAACCAATCTTTAAGGACACACAGGTCATAAGTCTTCTATTAGCTCATGCTGTGGAAAGACCACACAGACAGAATGACAGTATTATTTAAGAAATACAGGGAAGAAGTGTCTATTGTTGCTTTATCTGCCTTTTGTAAGTTTTGAATAGCGTTTTATTAAAAACTGCAGTTCATGTCAGTGATCTTTTGTATTGTCTTTATTTTACCATTGGGTGTGGAATTACTGCTTAAAGTGTAACTGTAATGTAGCATGTGGGATGATATAATTTTCTGAATATTACATCACTGAACTATGTTCTAATATCAGTTTACATACTGAAAAATTCTACGTTTTATATATTGAAAACAATCTGTCAGTGAAGGGCAGCTTTGGTCATTAGTAACTTCCCCCTCTTGAGCCGGCTGGCTTTCTAACCTGCTTTGACCTTTGAGGTGAATCCTGCTTCTGTTTTTTTAAGCGTGCGGTGAAACGGGATAGCTAATGTCAAGTTACCCTTTTCTCTGCGTCTCAGATGGTGATGCTTATGTAACTGCTTCCCTCTTTTGATGAACTTTAAATTCCAGCTGGGGGAACATATGGTCAGAGCAGGTTTTCCATCAGGGGATCTTATTCCTGCACATATGTTGCCTTTTAAACATTTAAACGCCAGGTTAGGATTACTTTGCCTGACAGCTTTTTGCCATTTCCATTGATTGGGAGAAGTGTTTTCCTGCGAAGGATCCTCGCCTTTCATCGTGGAAACCGAAGCTCTGTCAAGAATGACCCACCACTCTCACCTTTTTCCCCTCTGCCTGTGTTTCTTTGTGCATGAATATACCGATCGAGATGCTTTATTATCTGTCCTCCACTTCTTCTTCTTCTTCTTCTTCCCCGTGTTTCTTTGCCCGAGCTTGCCAAGCTAGCGTCGCCTGCAGCCCTCACTAATTTGCACTTTTTGAAAACCTGTGGTCTGCCTAAATACTACCTGCACTCTGTTTAACCCACTGCTAAGTTTGCTAACCACTAACATGTTATGCCTGCACAACACAAATGGTTACATGGGAATGAATTATTGGTAGTTTGTGCATGTGGAATATGGATTTGTTAACCGATCACAAATCACAGACATGAATGTGATGAATGTTTTGTTCTCAGTTTCTTTTTGTTTCCCTATCCTGGAGTTCCATTTTGCCACAACACAGAATAAGCTAAAGAAATCCCTTGTAATTGAGATTCAAGGCCACATGCTATTAAATGTAATGGGTAATGCTGCAAGTTTACAACAATAATTCATATGTAGGATGCTGACTACAAGCAAAAACACCACATTAATCTTAAAATGAGTTCTGATCAACAGTAGCTCTGAGGATATGTTAGTGGATCTCAATCGAACTGAGGCTTTCAGAGCAACTATATCACAATAGTTGACTCCATCTCCAACATGGGTTAACACATGAATCTTTATGTATCGCAGGGATCCGACTGGCACTCTAGCAGTGACTTCCTCAACCGGTGAGTTCCTCGCTCTCTCCCACATGCACGTATATACACACAACATAGTCAAATGAGAAACATAAGAACAGGGTGGCGTCTACTTTTCCTACAGGGAGTGACAGTCAGCAGGCTGTGGAATCTTTTTTAAAACAGTGGGTCAGTGGGTGGGCTACTTTTTTATGATCAGGGAAAGTATGCCACAGACAACCAGGCTGAGGCTCATACAGGGCATAGAGAGAGAGAGAGAGAGAGAGAGAGACAAACAGATGGTGACAGCTGTAGGCTAAAAGCTACAGAGTTACTATCCGAGTGTGACAGTATATCAGTTGTTTAATGTTAGGCTTTGGCTCTCCTCCTACACACATTTTATCAGTATCACTACTCTGCTTCAGCCTGACAATAAAAAAGAAACAATCTTTTTTCCCCACTTGATTTCCATCCATAAGATTTCCAGGCATGAAGGATTAAAATTGAGAAATCTCAGCCTTATCAAACCCTTGCAGATAACTTGTGGTAATTTTGTTGGAGCAGTACAAACCTTTTCACTCATGTGAATGCTGAATCAATATAGAGCTTATTATTAGCATGGCTAGATACATTTCTGTGTCCTTTGAGACATTGTTATCTCTCAGGACCTCTACTATCCAAGACGTTCCAACATGTCCCACGCACCAACGTGTCCATCCTTCGCCATCCACCCCCAAGACACCTCCGAATGCCGGAGAAATCTTTAGAAATGTCACTGTTATGACAAATCCTGATCCTTCTGCACTCTCCAACTATATATAACCCCCATCTCACTGCGAAACATGACGACATCCGAGGATTGTTGTTCCTCCGTCTACTCATCGGTGGCCCCTGTGCTTCCTCTGGTCTTGGATGCAGGGCCTGAGGAGGTGTGACTCCCCACATTAACACCGTGATCGATGAGTAAACGCCTCACACAATACCCCCCCGCCCTCCCCAGCAGTTCTATTCTAAGAGCCGCACACAAGCATGCATCCGGCTTGTTGCACGCTCGATCAAAACACATTACTCAGATTTAGAATATATAGAGAGATGCTATAGTAAATCTTGCAGATAAGCAGTTGGCTCATCGTTGGTGGAGGTTTATGAACATGTGACACTGATGCAGGCAATTGGATTTGATTGACGGCGGAGTTAATCAAGTGTCATATTAATTTTGACTTGGTAGTCCGTAAAGACAAACCTCATGACAAAGAATTAAAATGTGATGGTGCTGCATCAGTTTTATCTCAATGCCATTTGTTAAAACCATCAATTTGATTCATGATGATTGATTCAAAAAATAGAGTGTGGGCATTTCTGGGTGGGTGGGCAGAGTCTACAGAAGTATTTGAAGTTTGTAACACCAGGAAAACTAAGAGACAAAGACTTGAAAATTTATGGATGACAGGAGGAGGAGAGCACCGAAAATGTCAGCAATCGAAATGGAAGAAAAAAAATGAGCCGGAGACAATTTCATACCCTTGAAATTGCAGGGTGAGGCCTGTCTGAGGTAAATCGAGCATTTTGCACATTGGGAACAAGTTTCTTGTCTGCCCATGCTGCTGTGGCTGGTTGCCAGATATATTATCAGAACCACTGGCACACCAACTTAAATGCCAACCCTTAAACAGTCTCCACAGGATCTGTTTTGTTCAGGCCGTATCAAAGTAAGCTGGATGAGAACATAGATAAAGATAATGAGTGGTTATGAACGAGCTGAGATGCAATAAGTATGTGTTGGAAGTTTGATGGTTAGATAGAGCTTCTTGCTGTACAAGACAGCTTTACTGTAAAGTACTGCTTGACATCAGTTTCAGTGGTCTGTTTCAAGCCATGAAGTGATGACTTTCATTGTCTCTTACAGGTATAATCAACCACAAATACGATCCTGGTCCTTCTCTCAAGCAGTAAGTATATTGTCCTGGCTCTGTCTGTCTGTCTATACGCAACCACTATCAATCACACTGATGTATGTAAAGAATGATGTTGGTGTATGTGGCCATACAGTATGCGTGTGCAATCTCATACATCTGCGTGAGTGACTGACTGGGTCCACTGTGCAATGTGAGATATGCCACTGGGCTCAGCCTCGGCAGGAGGAGGTGAAACTGAAAGCCTCAATTACAGGCCCGTTACATTTCACACACAGATAAGACAGCATACGCAGTTTCTCTTGCGCTCACTATCAAACACAAACCCACACACCAGCGGTATGCAGCAATACGACGTATGGATGAACACGTGAAAGGTCTTGACTGAGGACTATGTCTCTGTCAGTCCACAGCATGTAACTGATTGGAAAATGAAATGTGTTGGATGGATTGCCATGCACTTTTGAACATGGTCCTTGGGAGATAAAGCCTAATGACTGTGGTGATCCTCTGACTTTTCCCCTAGTGCCACGTTCACATTTGGGGTTTGGGGGCAATCTCTCTATGACTATTGGTTGGGTTTCCATTTGGTGCACACGTTTTAATCTAGTGCCAGGAATTCCTTTTTACGCCTAAATACCTATAAAACTAAAAAGCATTAGCTGCAATGTGTGTGTTTTGTGCTAATTTGCTGATGGTACACACAATACCTATTGTCACTGTGTTAGCATGCTGACATTAGCATTTAGCTCAAAGCCCTGCCTCACAGAGCTGCTAGCATGGCTGTGGGCTCCTTTGTTCCTGTTCCTCATTGGATGCACTACACATGGAAATTGATGCAGCATCTATTGGCTGTGGCAGATGTGGAAATGAAGTGACCACAAGGGTAAATTCGATCGCTTTGCTGTCTGTGCGACACACACACACACACACACACACACACACACACATACACACACACACACAGGCCATATATACCACAGTACCATTACTGTCAATCCCTTAGTGGCACATACCACTCACACACCTCCACAGGGGTCAGATGGATTAGGCACATAGTCAGTAGCGACATGTGTACAAATCACGTCTGTACAGATTTATGGTGCAATGGCAACTTGTTGTTGCACCAAAACAAGAAAACCTTGACCCTAGTGTCACCGGCTATATAGGATAGACGGGGAAATACAGGGACGAATCAACTATTTTACTGCTTTTGTTGCTTCGGGTAATGTGTGTGTGTGTATACCTGAACGAACGCATCTGCTGCACAGAAGAGATTCAGTTCCAAACTAAATCCTCATTAGCTGTCAGTCAATACATTTTGGGCTAAAATGAGTGAGCACATGCAGCAAGATCTAAACGGAGGTTGTGACCAGTGCCAGGGCAACTCTGCAGTTACTACCAACAGCAAGCGGGTTGGGGTTGGGGGGGGGCATCGAACTGAGCAAGCTAGAATTTGATATCATTTCCAGCCCTGCACCCTTCCCCCCTTTTACACTGTGTGAGATTCCCCTGCTGAATAATAGCCACTCTGTTTGACCCTCCTCTCTCATTTCTCTCCCTCATACGCGCACACACACACACACACACAGTTTCTGGGTGGGAGGAGGGGGGGCATTAGCTAAGTGCCGTGACAATTCTCAGCATGGATCGTGATGGGAGATTGAGTGCTACAATGGTGTGACCAATCTGCATTCCCGTGATTCCTGCGGGCCTTTGACATGAGTCGCAGGCAAGATTACCTCACTTCCACCCAAACACAGCTTCAGCGAAATGCCTCTTTAAATCACCCTAAAGTGGCGTGCTGAGACTTTTTCCCTCATCACAGAAATGAGAAGAGTGTGAATTGTGTTGAAATCTTTTATATAACCCAACACATTTAATTGAAATGTCAAAGGGGAGCTTTTGGGGGGTTCAGGGGTAACACAAGGAAGTTACTTGATACGGATGCGACAGATAGGGTGACAAATGGGAGGGGAAGCTACAGTGTGAGAATGCGAGAGATATAAAGGGAGGGGGGGACTCTTCATAGTCACTTCATTCCCTTTACTGCAGTACAATAGCAAGTGGAAAGAGGGAAGAGGCCCCTGTCTATTTAAGCAGAAATGAAATGGAGACTATAATAACGCAGGACTCAGGAATGTGTCTGCTGGTTTACCGCCATCCCAGCACAGGCAAACATAGGACAGAACATCCGAAGCTTCTGCACAGATACAGCTCGGGCAGTGATGTTGTGGCTACAAACCCAGCTCCCCACAGAGACGGCGGAGAGTGTTGATAGCCAGGCCGCAGCCTCTCAGGGCCACAAGTAGACTCTGTAACATGAAACACTTATTTTTCTCTTTCTTTCTGGAGAAAACCACAGTGTATTTTGTGAATTTGTGTTTTGGTAGCAGTCATTCAGCCAGGTCCTGGCCTCAACACTCCTTTCACATGAGTCATATGTGAAATTCACCATAATTAGTGTTGTGAGTTAATCTGTGATTTACTGTGTGTGAATCCAGGTATTTGAAGTGGACATGTAACACATAAAATTTAGACTGGACTAAAATGACGTTAAATATAACAAATAAACTGTTTATAAGTGACATAAACATACATGTATACTCTTTTTTTCCAATTCATCTGCTGTGTCTGTGTGTCCCCTACATTTTTGTGCGGCTCATAAGGCTTACATAGCGGTAACTTGGCGACACCTAGCGGCCATGAGCGGGAAATGCGAGGACCTCCCGAGATAAACTATTAATTTCACCTGAGTATAATACAACAACAATGCAACAATAGATGGAAAGTCGTTGCTGCATTAAAACAAAAGGTGCCCTCACAGTTTTTGTCGCTTCAGTTTGAGTTTGGGTGTTACCCTCTTTGGAGTGGAGAGGGTAACACCCAAAGAGGACCTGAACTCACCTGAAACCCACCGGGCTCTCTTTGAATTTCTTCTTTGTCTTTTTCCGACATGCTCGCCAAGGTTTGGTCAGACTTTGAGCAGAGCTTTTGGGCCAAACTCCGTTCGTTGGGGTCATGCTGGCAGGTACAGTAACATTACATGTATATATATATTGTTAAAACTGTGTGGAACTGATAAATGGCGTCGTTTTTTGGCTTGTTTAGCTAATGTTTGGCCACTAGAACAGGAACATGCTGCCTTCAGGGACTTGACATTACAGACCAAACTACACGGCTGTGTTTGAATGTTGGTGACATGTTGTTTAAAGTGCAGTCTGTGTGGTTTAGCTAACATTTAGCTACGTGTTTTAGGTTTTCAAAATCTATTTAAAATGAATTTCCAGTGCAGTGTGGATTTATTAATGCCCAAGCTGTTAAAACACAACTTTTCCACACACTTCCAAGTTTGTGAAATTGCATTTGTACTTAATATTTTGACTGTTACCGACTGCATGTTTTTGTATCGATTCCAAGACGTATTTCACATTTTTACTTGGCCTAAAAATCACATTCAACCAAGGTGGAGAAAAAAAAAAAAGCTTTTTTCATTGTGTCTTTAAAGATTTAAAAACAGATAGTATGTGGTTGGCAGATAGTTGCCAGCTGAACTGATTGAAGCTAGAAAGATATATCATTGCTTTACTGATCTCTTGTTATGCTCCCTCCAGTAAAGGGTTACCTGTACATCTACTGATACATTTGTTGAACATGAATCTCAGAACTAAAGTTACGCTCGACCTTTCAAATGTGAAAGAAAAAAAATAAATAAAATGCCACAGGAACTTAGTTACTGAACACACACATATACACCCTCACAGTCACGCTTGTGCTGTGGTTTATGTGGTGATCATCATCTAGCTCCCACAGGCAGACGGTTGCCTCAAACACCCGGAAAACAAGATGTGATGCGTGTGTTGTGCAAGAAAAAAGACACACACACATTCACTGATGCACAGAGGTTTAGTTGAGATAAGTGCTGTCATTGTGTGAGCTTTTAGAGCACAGGATACTGATACTAAGCTAAGGCTTTTTTGGACTTTTTGTGAAGTTGTAGAGTACCAGGTATGAGTCTTCCTCTCTTCTTCTCACTGGGGTCATTTGTAGATTTGTAGTTTGTGGTGAGTGATTGAACGCGAACAACTGCGGCAGGGCTTCAGCTCAGGACCCTTTGACCTCATTGCAACCTGTGCTTTTACATTTCCTGACATCAAGGTTGGTTGCTCTTGTGTAGCGCTCAGTCTAGAAAGGTGTTACGTCAAGGTTATATAACAGATGGACTCACAGGGAGATGTTTTAGATCTACAAAGTGTAATGGGTGGTTGGGATTCCTAATTTGTGTCAGATCCTACCCAGATTTTTGCTGTTTTTGTATTTTTTTGTATTGTCTCTTAGAGAGGAAAGTTGTTCATGTGTGGTATTGTGCGTGTCTCTCTCGGGCAGCTTTGTCACAAAAAAGGAACTTAAGCACGCAGAGGAAGTTAGTCAATAATGGCAACATAGATTTCTCAACACCTTTCATGTTTCTGTTCATTTAGGTTGATACATTTCCAAATGTACTTTTTTCATGTCTGTGCTTGACACTGCTGGAAAGCCCTTTTTTGATGTTTGACACTGTAAAGGGGCCTTTACAATCTGCGATACGTTAATGTAGTTAGTGTGAGTATGTGTCACAGGCTGACAGTGACTATTTCAGCTGTGAGTCAGTGCTGTTCATGAGATTTAACTTTTCAACCATTTTTCTGACTCGGCTTCCATTTCCTCAGAAGGATTCTGCTTTTTCTCCTCACTTTCAATTCACATTTATGTTTGTTGTTTTTTTTACTTCGCTCTGCTAAACAAGAAAAGAGGGGGGGGAGAGACACTAATTGAGCAACATTAACTGTGCTGCCTGCCCATGACGTCACTTCCTGCAGTCACGTTGGGGAGCAAAGAAAAAAAAAACTGCTCATTTTTTGCCCATTTACCTGTGGGTAGTAATATTGTCGACCTACGCATCTGTATCTAAGGTGTGTCTTTTCGTTTTTTTCCGACAGGCTGCCTTCCCCATATCTGTATCCCCTTCTATGGCTGCCGATGACTATAACCCCGTAAGTATTAATTCCTTTTTTCGTGTATGACATTTACTCAAGCTCAGGTTGCCTTGTTTCTCGCTATGATGAAACTGAAAACCTGCTCTCCTTTTTAATGGTGGAAGTACTTCTGCTTCTCCTATTTTATGATGACTATGATGAATGAATATTTATACTAGCTTATGCTCCACTGGGTTGTTAGCTGGTCATTGTCTAGCTTGGTTTCTCTTAGTGTTTTAGTTCAATTTAAAAGAAGAAGAAGGAAAAAAAAAAAAAGCACAAGACAGAAAGTCTTCTCACAGATGAGGATGTTAGAGAGGAGGAGGGGGAGTTGTGTTAATGTGTGTGTGGAGTAGAGATAGAGAGAACAGCAGAGAGCGAATTCATGTGACACTCGGGGTGAGAAACAGGATGTTCCAGACTCAGTCTTCGTCTCAGCTGCAGGGTCTGAGACTGTCAGTGTGTTTCTTCTCGTCTCCTCCTCCTGACTGTCTGACCTGAGCCCTTTCCTCCTCTGCTCTCCTCCCCGAAAGGTCTCCCTCCGACACAAATCCAAGAAGAAGACCCGAGGAGGTAAGCTGTCAGCCTTGAGCTCTCATCACTTTGTCTCTGTGTGTGCCCGCGACTGTAATTTGGACCCCATGTGGGCGTGTGTTAAGTGGCAGGGCAATTGGTGTGTACAGAGGGCTTTTAGACAACGCTCGGTTAGTTTCACTTCAGTTCCTCTATATTTGAACTGCTCTTTATCAGCATCTTGGATCTGTAAAGCTCATTGAAATTCAGACTTTCTGTGTTGTTCTTATTGCTGTCTGATTCATCACAGGAACAGGTAGGCTGAATGCAGCACAGCACTTTTGAATTGACTGGTCTCTGGATGCTGTGTGGCTTTGTTGTTGTGGTGTTATTTTTAGAATTCATTTGATTATTGACCCAAACCCAGTGACCTATTTGCATTTGAATGGAAATGTTTTGCCCGTTTGGATTTTAGTCTCTGCAATGTATTGCTTCCTCTAATGCCAAACTGTGGCGTTGCTTCTCTGTGGACAAAGGAGAGGAGGTCTCAGTGCATTCATGTGCATGTGTTCTCTGTGCACAGGCAATGGTACAATGAGCAGGAGACGCATCTCGGTCAAAGAGCTGGGGCAGCCAGACCACCAGGGCTGGCTGTACAGGAAAAAAGAGAGCAAAGGCTTCCTGGGTATCAAATGGAAGAAGTACTGGTTTGCTCTGAAGAAGACGTCTCTCTACTGGTACACCAATCAACTGGTGAGTAAAACAAACTTTCATGGGCCTATTTATGATGTGTACACGTGTTCAAATGGTGTCTGAGTCCTGATAGCAGAGCTGTGACAGCAGCCTGCTTATCACAGCTCATCACTGTGCACTCCAGCCTACAGCTGTCACTCCGCAAAGCTTGAGCTGCACAGAATTACTCAAAATAACTACCAAATACTGCTAAACATCTGTTTCTCTCTTATGATTTGCTCACTTTTGCACACTCTCAAACTCTCTGCCTCTCTCAAATTAAAATTTGCTGTATTGGTATGACTATAAGCAGATATAATCATTCATAATAAGAGGGGAATCGGTGGTTTTCATATTACTAGGTATGTAGTATACTGTAATGAAAGAAAAATGTTTTCTTTTTCCCTTAAACAAATAATTAAAAGATTATATGATGAGGTAAAATAGAGGGTCACAACTGAATGCAATGGTGAGAATCAGAAGGAAATAGAAAACAAGTACAGGGACGATTTCAAGCAAACACTACTAAAACATGAATAAGTGCGTTTGTAGGGGACTGTTCTCACCAGCAGATACGTACCTGTTTGCTGCTCTGGTGAGTATTACAGCAGGGTGGCGTATGTGGGATTGGCTCATATTAAACTACAATGCCCCCTGTTTATTGTAATGGATGAACTTGTCACCCACTGTAACAGTGTGTCTCATCTGTGTGTTTTATAATAAAAAGAATGGAGGTACATTGTGTAGGAAAAAAGCTGTAACAGGCTTTGGCTACACAACCTGTTAGTAGGATCAATTAATTGTTGGTTTGGGGTTTTTTTATGGGATCTTTGGACAATATAAAATTTTTTGAATATAACTGGACTTTCCTTTTAAGCTGTAAAAGTTTATATATTTTAAAAGTGATACATGTAAGCATCACCTGAGACAAGAATGGCAATTCGAGTACTAAAAGTGTACACTATTTAAAAAAAATGTATGTATATTTTATTTATCCTAATCCCTTGTTTTTGGTATATCTGTTTTGGTACTGCTACTTTGTTTTGCCTGTTCGACATTATTGTCAGTTTTATATACTGTTTTTGGTGCTATTGGGAAGGGTCTGGGAATGTCGGGTGCGGGGTGGGAGGAATGTTTATCCCCTTCATTTGTACTGAAAAACAAAACAATGATTGGGTGGTCGGGCCAGGCAGCCCCTGAGCAAAATGCCAAAAAACAAAAAAAAGGTTTATATATTTAAAATCCCCTCCTGACATTTATTAAGACACAATTCAAATAGTCTGCTTGGAACAATAACTGTTTCTGTTATATTTATGCCACGACAAAAGTATAATTTAAAATCTTAAAAAGGTATCTAGTCCTTATACCTCATAAACCACTCATAGGCCTGCCCCTTAAAGGTAATGTAACATTTTCACATTAAAATGTCTATAAACACTAGACCTGTGTTATATAGTTTATTGAGTTGTATACTTACATTATCCCAAATGTTTCCAACAACGTTCAAACCCAGAGACATCTATAATTTTATTAACAGTCGCCTGTCAATGGCGTCATATCCTCTTTATGTTGTGGTTGTCCGCCAGAAGCGACCATAAATTGACTTTTTATCCAGTTTTAAGCCCTTTTTAGATCTTGGTTGTTTTCAACATTATATTCTAACTGGATTAAGGATTTTAGTCAGCGAAGGTATGGGTCTTAAGTTATCAGAGAAACAAGCTGAGCTAATGATGGCAGCAGCAGCTCGGCTGGCAGGACCTCTGGGATGTTCTTTATCCGCCGAACACATATTTTTAATATGAAACTACTTTAGCTTGTGTTTTTACTGATTTTAATCACCAGGTTCGTTTGTTTTGGAGAGTAGGAGACCTCTGTGGATAATTCAGCTCCCGGTGAAAACCTCCTGAACAACGAACACTAAACTTCACCAAACTTACATATTGTTAGCTGAAATCATAATTCTTTGTGTGTAAGAAGACTTAAAACATTGGTTTAAACAATGTTAAAATGTGTCTAACTTGAAAAAAAAAAAAAATTACACTTTTGTGCACTCAAGCCAAACACAGCCACACTCGTCCGCCACTGCAAGTGCAACAAAAGCCCTGCGAATAAAGAGCCAGTAGGAGTAATTAATGAATGTAATCTGTGCAAAAGATCTAGAAACGGAACAGCTTCAATGAGGGCATTTTGTTTCTTAATGCCACGCAGAGCTCTTTAATTGTCAAGCCTATACATTGGATTGATTTTAATAACTGTAATGTAGTTGAAGTGTGCACTGTTTTATCTAAAATAAACAAGGATCGGATTGAGACTTGGTACAGGCAGATAATCAATATTGAATTACTTCGGGGATCGGGGGCTGAAAAGTTGATCGCGACATCCCCAGAACAAACAGTTAAATATTGTCTGTAATTTTTGAAAATATAAAAAACTTCAACACTGGGATGAAAGATGGAAAGAAAATACAATACCCATCATATTATAAATGAATCAGCACGCAGTTTGTCGTAGTGCATTATAATGACATATGTTTGAAGTTCTGCAGTGATTGAATTTGGTTGGAAAAAAAAGAAGCTGCGCCCCCAATTCCATCCATTGTAATAGTTTTTGCAAACTAGAGCAAAAACCAAATAAAACGACTCTCGCAGCATGAATCCTTAACACATCACACATTTAAGACTTAATGAGTCACAGATGCGGTGCAGATGAGTCATACTTGTTTCTGCCACAGCTGTCTCTCTGCCAGCCTGTCACTGCGGGAACTGCTAGGTTGTGCTTCCTGAATGAGATGTTGTGAGCAATGGCCCTTGTCAGATAAACAAGCATACGTAACTGACGTGTTTGATTTACTGGCATTTTGACTTGACGCAGATCTACTGTATGTCGCCATCATATGACAGGAGAAAATAGAAGAAGTAGCCTCCTGCAATTTAACTGCAGGTGTCATTGTCAGGAAGTGGTATGAAGTCATCAGGTTGTTCTAACGCTCATTGTTGTTCAATCTTGTGTGTTGCAGGCAGAGAAGGCTGAAGGCTACATTGACCTCACCAACTTCATGATTGACAGAGCCATAGAGTGCAAGAAGAAGCAGTAAGCTCAAAGTTACACTCCCTCAGTTTCTGGTTTATCTGAATCAGATTTTACCGTGTAACCACCCACCACCGGTGGTTTGAATTAAACAGGAACTATATCTGTATTTATTTTGGGACCTGAATGACATAGAAAGTCATCCCACACACTGTGATAGGAAGTGCAAAGTCTTGAACAATTTGAAAATGATCAGGGAAGTAGAATAAACTCAGTTTTTATAGATTCCAGTAAAAACTTCTTTTCACACTGCTCTTTTTGTGTTGCTCCTGTCTGAACTGCTCTCCATTGACTTTTCCTCATGCAGTGCGTTCAAGGCTTGCCACCCACAAGTCATGATGTTTTATTTTGCTGCGGAGAGCCACGAGGAGATGAACTTGTAAGTCACATAAAAGCACAACATTGTATATATTTCTCTATGGGTGTTTTTTTTTTTTTAATGTACACTGTCTTGATTCGTCAATTGTTATTGAGTAAAATTTTTTTATTCTTTTATTAGATGGTTGAATAAGCTTGGGCTAGCCTCCATTCAGTATGAGCCAGCAGAACGAAACCCTACAGCCGGTGAGCACCCATAACAATCAGACGTGTATTTCTGTTACATATTACTGTTCTTATAAGAAAATCTTAATCATTATTTAGTTAGAAGTTGAATTATTTCTTCTGTCTCTCATGCAGAGTGTTACAGTGAAGCCAGTGACCATGAAGAAGCTGAAAGCACAGAGATTCCCCCTCCACCATACTCTGAACAAACCCTGCGAGACTCCGTGGATGCATCCGGTCCACCTGGTAGCACACATCAGGTCAGTAATGTCACATCTATACAGGAGGTTGCCATTCACTCAATAGTGTAGTTAATTAATTTGTGATAGTATGTTTACTCTGGTTAAGCTGGTAATTTTGTTTTAAAATTATTTTTAATTCATGCTAGATAAAGACATCTGACCGTGGTGTATTTGTCTTTCAGGGTACCCTGCCTCCCCCTTACTCCTCCGCAGTCCCCAGCGAAGCCAACGGTTCACTCTCGTCCCCCGTCAGTACAATGACATCACAGAGCTCCACCTCCTCGCTCGCCAAGCACCGGCAGTCCTGGTTGGACCTCGTCTCGCAGGCGTCTCCTCCCACCGGGGAAACGGCTGTGGTGTGCTCGGTTCAGGTACACTCGTATCAACCTCCGGAAGAGGAGACGGAAGAGGAGGATGACTCCCAGGTGTTGGAGGGCTCGTCTCAGCAGGACTCTCTGGAAACGGGGTCTAATAAGGAAAGCCCTGCTGCGGAGGGGGAGGCACAGAGAGTCGCATGTGGTGCTAAAGAAGAAGGTGAGACTTTATTTTACTCGTTTTCCATTTGTTGTGTATTTGTGACTTGCCTGTGTTGTCTTTAAATGTTTGGACATTTGTGAGTCAGTTGGCTCTATTTTAAGTCGATTTCTGCTGTGTCATTTCCAGCTGTAAGAGACGATTTCCTGTTTCTCACAACACTATTTAACATCTTCGCGCAAAGAAAGATTACTTGTTGTTGTTAGTTGATTGATATGCTGGCTCATTTTCCTTCGGTTTCAGATTTTTTAATATATTTTCTACCTTAAGTTTACTGGTAATGTCAAGTCACTGTGACTTAGGGAACCTGCAGTTAGTCATTGTCAATCTTTGTGACATGTATGTTGATGATGTAATATAACCTTATCTTGTTGCAGGGGTTCATGGGAATAGCTCAGATGAGATGGAGAAGCTGTATATTCATCTGAAAGAGGCCAGCCTCTCGCCAATAGGAGATCGCAAACCATCCACAAAAAGGGAATTCAGGGCCTCCTTCATAAAACGCTGTAAAAACCAGACTGTCAATGACAGACTTCATCTTATCCGGACTCTCAACAGCACATTAAAGGTATTTTTTTCTATTTCCTAGTCTGTTTTTCCATCACAGTGCAGCTAGTGTGTGAATTGCAAAAGAAATGTTTTGTAGAATCTGGAGAGCTTTGTGCTATTTTTTTAATTTCCCCATTTTCTTTTCTCTCTTCTTTCCTGACGCAGTCGAAAGAGACAGACCTACAGGCAATAGAGCAGGTGCTGTCGGACCCGAAGCTCACCTCAAACAAGTTCAGAGAGTGGAAGGAGGCCCATGCACCCTTGGTGCAGGAGATTTGTGTGAAACCGGTCCAGCAGGTGGCATCAGAGGCCACAAAAGCTGCAGCATCAGTCATTGCTGCTCCAGTGGTCGAGACCAGTTTATAAAGACTCCTCATGACTGGTTTTACTGTGTCTGGACTTAACACTCACATACTTAAGACACACAAACACACACACACACTGCTGTTCGGTTAAGACTACTGTTCCATATAAGTTGACTTTATGTACTGTTCAACAAGTAACTGGATCAATGAAGAAGAGTGTTTTTAGCTCCTAAATAGAGATGGAGCAGGCATTATATGATTAGCAGGTCACATTAAAATGTGAAATGTGTTGTAGTATTACTTTTACTGTTAGATTTGTAAGATTAGTTCAGCTAATTTTGCAGAGGATTGTTTTTATGTTGTAATTCTGTGAACGTATGCATTGTTTTTAATATTTGGAATGATGGAGTACATTGAAATGATGATGATCCATTATTCTTTGCATGGAAACACTTGTTTTTACAGTATGTTTGATCTACTTTGGATTCATCAGTAGTGAACAAATTTTGAACTGTTGGTCAGTCAATTATTGGTGCCATGCACCAGCGCTGCCTGTTACACATGTGTTTTACAGCAACTATTTTGAATGATTGGTGTTTTGTTCTCCCTAAAAATGATATTGTCATACTTATCATGAAAACTGAACACCGGGGCCAGCACTAACAGAATAAAATGTTGGTCACAAATCATGATAATTTCAGATTAATTTTTTTAGATTCAGTGTCAAATCATTGTTATAACGATGTAATTTAGAGCCAAGATATAAGAAATCACCTTGTTTTTTTGTAGAAAATGATATGTATGTTTATTCTACTAAACAAAAACAAGCTATTTTTAAATGAAGAATTCCAGCTTAAATGTGATAAAGACTTTATTACTAGCCAGTATCAATGATACAGTCTGTTGGGCTTAAAGACAGGATGTACCAGTTTGCATTGGCATTCAAACGCAGGATGCTTGGTGGATAATTCTCAGGAAAAAAGACAGACCTCCACCTTGGCCCTTACAAACAAGTCCAGCAGACCCTAATCCTGTACACAGACCCAGAGAGACCCAGATTTAGTCAACTCAGGCCAAGCAAGGGCCTCTGACTTGGTGACAACACCTACTGGTAACCAACCAAGCCCCAGTCACAAAGAGGCATTTTTTCTGACTTACATTTCATCTGTTGTGTATGTGTTAAATATTAACTCAGTGTAAATATTGTACATGGATGTGTGATGTTAATTATATTTGATCTGGAGTCAGAGCGCTTGTTTGTATACAGGGAAATAAAGTATTATCACAGTAGGCTTGAACATTTCACTGTGGCTTTATTTTGATTTATGTGGTCAATGTAACCATAGATGAATGCGTCTTTGTATTTTTTGAAACAAAAAAAGCGGGGGCGGGGGGGTGGTGGTGGGAATGTTTAACACAACTTGTAGTGACCCGAAGTTGACGCTAGGAGTCGCCGGTCTCTGCAGATTTCCATTGAGGTTATGCGCCATATTGGCAGTCTCCTCCATCTCACCAAACGTCGAGCATGCATGTCTCAAACCGGTTATTGAGGAGATATCTGTAAATATTCACAGTCACCTGCGAGCCGAAATACAACACTATGGAGGCCGTCAAAGCCTTTAACAATGAGGTTTGTTTGAATCCCTTGCACAATTCTGAACACATTGAGAGTAGAAAATGTTGTGTAGTCTATATTTGCGGTGGCTGGTTGGCTAACGTTAGCATCAAGTAGCAGAGAGGAGGGCAGTCTCACACAAGGCCGCTGTCTGTGCACAACAATACAGCGATAACGTGAAGTCATTTAGTGTGTAATTCACGTTATCTGTCCAGACGGTAGCTGCGAGGAGAATGTGTTTCCTCAACCTAACACACACACACCGTGTAAGGTTGAGATTAAGTCTATGAGCAAACATTTTCCACACACCGATGCTAACGTTAACTAGCTAACGTTAGCTAGCTGCAAGTTAGCAAAACCGCATCAGTTGCGTGATAACTTGGTTAGCTAACTAACTAATATGGACGTGGGGAAAAATACCTCGCACTCGCTGCCCCTTGGTCAGATAATTATTGCAATGTGATTCTGACCCAAGTAGCGTTAGCATACTGGTATATAATCCCACAGGATAGAAATGACTTGAGGTAACCCAGCACATTTAGACAGCTAGGTTACCCGCTAGCTATCAAAGCTAACTAGTAGCGCAACCATTTGTCTGCATTGACACTAAAGTCAGTCTGTCCTTTGGAATAATCAGTGTAAATGCTAACCTCTCCAACCACTCACAATTAACTACTAATACCAATTGGATTTTACTGTTGACATCAATTTAGTTGTTGGATGTTTTTTTTATTTATTTTTTTTAATGTTAGTATCAAAACAAATCACCTGAGTCAGAGACAAGCCCACCGTCTCATTATGAAATCGGTGGCTCTCTGACCATAAAACATACCCCAGTTGAAGGTTTTTACAGGGTGCTGAACAAAGATTGCAGTAAAGAAGGGGTGATGCTTGTTCATATAGGCCTTGAATGACTATTAACGTTATGTTTTAGTATTTGCATTATATGACAAAAGATGTTCTCTGTTGTCTCATTTTAATTTCCAGTTGTACTCATTGAACGAGTACAAGCCGCCCATCTCCAAGGCCAAGATGACCCAGATCACCAAGTCTGGAATCAAGGCTATAAAAGTAAGTATGTAGTGTTAGAGGATGAGGCAGGTAATGGGGGGTTAATGAAATGTGAGGGAAATGCGCTCCAATTCTTATGTTAAATCAATGCATACCCACCCAGCTATGAGCATGGGTTTTCACATTTTTATGTATAAATATGGGTAAAATTACTCTTGAGGGGGTAGGTCTACTTCCATTTTTTAATATATAAAATGTTACGATTTAAGGCCCCATAAAATGAAAGGTTTACAGGTTTTTACAAGGATGATAAAAGATTTGTCTGTTTCAGCCACAAACTCACTTGTTTAATGCAAAACAGAACATCTAAATACTATTTTGTTACATAAAGGCAGTTAATAAAATCCAAAAGACCAAAATCAGCTGACGTAGGAGCAAAGACGAATTCTCAAAAATGAAAAGTGCAAATGTAGATTCTGGACTGAAGTAAATTATTCTGTTATGTAGTCTTGTATAAGACTGTGAAGGACATGTATAAGCTCTCTTGGAGACTATATCCTTTCACAAATACCTTAAAAAGTGTGTACCTAAGAAGCACGATGCATATGAGCCTGTGTACTGCACTTTTTTGCTGATAAGGAATTTCCACATGGTGACACCCTTGAGCAGAGCACATCAACAATAATTAATTAACTAATTAATGTTGTTTGTTAATATGTGTTGACAGCATGAGGTAGAGGGCTGCAACACTATTGAGAGCCTTTGGGACTCCATATTGACTATGGAGTGGATGGTTAAGGACAAAAACATCTAGGGGTGTTGACATTCAGTATTTTAAAGTGAGACTAATGTGTATCGGTTTTTATCCATTTTGTTTCGGGGCTAATAATAACACAGGCGCGGATTTTAGGAAGTATTGGAAATAAGAATCGTTGTGTTTTCGTTACCTTAGAATGAGACGTTTTCATCTATGCCACGAGTCACCTTCACGCAGTCCGTCATGTTGAACCCGCATGTTTCTACAGTAGCCCAGAATGGACAGACCAAACACTGGCAGTAAATGGTGCATTTCACGTTTTTCACGAGTTTCACAGCCACCATAGTTTGTCCTACACACTTCACAGCCTGTTCTCATTCCCAGGTCGTCAAATACACTGCTAGATGCCATTAAATCCTACACTTTGGACCTTTTAATAAAAAAGCTTTGTATTTTCGATCATTGCAAATAACATTTTGCAAAAGTACAAAGTCATTAGCTTTAGTTATAGTAATAGGCCTTTTTTTTCATTGTATGGAAAGTACAGATGTTTCTATAACATTAATGAGTTAATAGAGTTTGACGTCTCTTATGCTTTTATTGGAAGCCATATGACAGGCTCAGTGTTACGTTACAGCCGGTTGATGCAATCTATCTACACAGACATAAAAACAATAGTGGAATTGTTTGTACATGCGAGTGAGACTACGTGTTATAAATAGTTGACTTAACACAGTTCATTTGCAAGTATTTTAACAGTGTCTACACAGCAGCGGCTTTAGTCTACACTTAACAGCCACAGTCTGCAGTCACGTTCGTAAACTAGTAGAAAAAAGACTTGAAGCCTAAAAAGAAATGATTGGGGTTGCGATCGAGTGAAATGTGCGCCATTGGTTGGTCTGTGTAGACAGCTGTATTGATTAAAATAGAAGCCTATCTGTTCCGCCAGACAGCTGTTACACAGAGGACTGAAAAACGCTTCTGAAATGCATTTTTTGTCGACATCCTGTTCAACGGCCTGACCTTACAGCATCCATCATTTGAACTTTAAACACGAACAACAAACAGAGGAAACCCCACCATCAGCTCACAATATATGAGCCATAACCAGATAATTTGTAGGCACCTAGAAACTTTTTAATGCACAACATTGTTTGCCACAAGTTCTTTTAAGCAGTGATATAAATAGGGTGTGTTTTAAAAGGAAGGTCAAAGTGATTTTATTACAGGCCCACCTCATAAGATCTGTTTTGTTTTGGGCTTCTGATATTGTGCTCACCTGCAATAAAAACATTTTAGTGAAACCCTGGCTTGGCAGTGAGTGCAATATTAGAATTTGTCTTTATTTTGCCATAAAGACCCTTTTTGTAGTTTGTCTCCTATGCTTACATTACACTAAAGACTGTTTTCCTGGGCCTATTAAAAGCCTCTCAGGGGAAAAGGCTGATCAACAAAGTCCCTATGAACCTCTGTGGTTATAGTTCACCTAAAATGCAAAACTGCTCATCACTTTTCTCTGAGATGCTAAAGAGATACAGGCCAGGGAGTGAATATATTTTTTTCTTCCAAAAATCTTATTCTTATTATTGTTATTACTCCTACAATATGTGTAATTGAAGATTAAGGTCCAGGGAACCAGTCCTTAATGATAAGTCTTCTGATAATGTGTTTCCTTGTCCTGTTTGTACTCTAAAGGAACTGCTGTTGTTTTGGTGTTGCTGTGCCTTATGTTGCTTGTGAATAACACCCGTTTCCCCTTCCCTCAGCAGCTCTCCCAGCTCCCCCAAAGCACTGAAAGTGAAGCAGGAGGATGGGGTGGAGAGAGTTACAAAGAGATAAGAGAATCCCTAACCAGCTTAGGTAGGAGTATGGGTTGTTTCACAAGGAAGATGGAAGAAGACTAAAATCCTTTAAACTTAATTTGCTCCCACACACCCAGAGAGGCGGGGATTTTGCTGTTGCCACTGTTATGGGCTGTACTCCCCCCCTCTGGTTGTCGATTTGGCTTTGAGCTCTTGATTGTGTTGGCAGTTGAAGGTGCAATTTAGTTCATTTTCTTCTTGAATTGTCTGATGACAATATTCATGTTGTGGTATAGTTCGTGCACCTTTCTTTCTTGTTTGTCAAATCAGAACATTTTCTGTTTCTCTTCCTACTGCATATTGATGCAGCTTGAGCAGTCATTAGTTGGTGTGAGGGTTTAAATTCAGGAGTTGCCACTGGTGATTGATTTTATAAAATGCTGACCTCTGGGTTGGATTGAAATTGCTGCTTGAACACACAGTTTGAGTAATTCAGTATTCATCTTCAAGATAACAGACATCACTTAAATACACTGTATTTTCATAAGCTGGTGAGGGCGGAGTAGTCCAATAGGGAAATTACTTGTAAGTGGTGTTCATAAAACACACCTTTTGCAGAATCTTATAGAGTAAGCTACTATCAGTGTCACAGTAATTTGACAGTATTCATTGACATGGTAATTTCATTCATCCCTGAGAGTTGTCTATTTCTCAGTGCAGTAACCCTCAATGTTTGTTTTGAAAAAGGAGCAGCGATTCATGTCTTCTGCACACAGTGTGACTGTTTTTTTGATTTTGTCACATATGGTATAAAAATAGCTGAAGATGTCTAAGCTGTTGATCCGGTCTTTTTAAGACACTATTGAAGTTTTGATTTTAACAACAAATTAGGGCTCTCACTTTTTGAGTTTGAATGAATAAGAACTAACATGTAAGTCCTATTTTTAAATCCTAAAATATATTATACAATTGATGTGGTTCCCTTTAAATTGCTTTGCCTCCACTGCCTCACCTGAGACACAAGTTAACAGATGACCTTAGATTTGTGTTCACTGCAATAGTAATAATTGTTACTTAATTATCCTACAGCTATTAGATTAACTCTCCTAGGCTGACATCTGTACACAGTAAGACTCTCACTTAAAAAAAATAAGCTTGAACAAATCTGCAATGACATTCAAATGAATTGAAAGAAATCTCAAAACACAAAGTACAAATGTATGACAACGCATGTGAAAACATAACGTAACATCTATACTATAGGACAGGACATTTGAGTGGCCACACATCTGCATTTCCTTGCATATAAATCTTGCTATCGTACCTGTAATGGTGTAAGATAGTGGTATAATGGTAATGGTGTTACGAATAGTAACAGTCAGAGGTTGTACGTTTGACGTTGCCTGCTCCACTGCATCCCCTGGTTGGCAAACTTAACATTAAAAAATAAATATGCCGCTTTGTTGTCGTTATAGAGTTAGGCAGCTGCTTTGTACAGAGTCGACAGAAGCACACTGCTTCTCAGAGCATTTGGTGTTGCGATTGTCTGGTCAGGACTGCTTTGCTCCAGGCTTTGCATGCTAGTGTCCTCCATTTTTGTATTAAACAACCAAACATTGCTAGCTTGGTTTACTGACAGGTAAGCCGTAGGTCAAGCTGATAGTGGAGTGCAAACTGGTTCAAATGGTCTGTTGCGCTAATGGACTGTAAATTTTGAATTTGAATCAGGCCATTACACTTAAAAAAAAACTAACCGTGTTCAAAAGAACTTTTAATTTTCGAATAAAAGTGAGTGAGCCCGAGTACACTGCGACTGACTCCAGTAAACTAGTTGGTTTGGCCACAGTTGCAGAGCCTATTAACAGCTTTTCAGCTGAAGGTGACGGCCTTTTCTTTTTGCGTGTTTTGTGTCTGGTCCGTTCTCTATATTGTATGCGTCTTCTAGGGCAAGGCAAAATAATAAGAATTCAATTAGAATTTTGGCTTCCAACGATTATGAAAATAACATAATCAAGACTTTTGTCAGAATTATTATTTCCGCATTAAATTTCCCACCTCTTTCCTTCACAGCGGTAGCTTGTCACCCCTCCCACCTAAACTCCTTGTGTGGGTGTGTAGCTGATGTTAAACGATTAGAAAATAACAATTTCTCTGATTGCTTTTCCGCTACCATCGCTCTCTCTCCCACTCGACCAACACTGAAGATATCCCATGGCACACACATACATATATACAGTGAACTTATATTGGGAGTTTTGGATTTTTCAGTTAAATTATATTTAAAGTTAATTAGTAAGAATTAGTTAGAAAATCCACGGTGAAAAAGACACAGTAAATGCATGATGTTTCCAAAGCCAGTAAGTAATCGTGTTAAATAATTGTGATCTCAATATTGACCAAAATAATCGTAGTTATGATTTTTGCCATAATTGAGCAACTCTAGCATCTTCCTTCTTTTTCATAAACTGACAAAGCAGGGGTTTGATAACAGTCTTGTAAAC